CGATGAGACCAAAAGAGTTGGTTAGAGGACATCTCAAGGTTTCTAAAAAGTCCAAGAACACCTCCAAAAGTTCAAAATTGAAGAAGTTATGCATTGTTGAAGTTGGGCATTTTTCCAAAATTGCCAAAAGTTAACTATCCCCAAAACTTCAAATTTTGTCAAATGGGCCCACTTGTTTCCACTTGATTTGATTTTGTCACACTACACACGTGTCCTATATTCAGTTTTGTGTCCAATTATTAATTTTTCTATTTTATTTGATTTTTATTGAATTAAATCATTTTTAATCAATTTAAATCCAAATAAAATCTAAAAATTGATCACTTGGTATCTTTGTGATTGATATAGGTCTTAAATATCATCATGGACACAATCAAATCCGGATCAAGCCATATCATGCACAAAATATTGGTTTTTGACAAATTTGGAAGCTTTTTCAATGGAGAATAAAATCTCATCTTTAATCATCAATGCATAAGGATTCAAGCCAAAATTTTTAACCTAATGCATTGCCTTATACTTATACAAGTGAGAGGCATGAAAATCAGAAGGTGGAGGCTGCACAATCAGAAGAACCAAACTTGAAAATTTGTCAAAAAAGTTGGAAACTGAAAACACATCTAGAGGCCGATTCAAAGCAAAATCCCCACGCTATTCAATTGCTTGACATCCCCTGAGTCAAAACCAATCCTTTACAAGCTCTGAAACCTCATCAAACTCTCTGTAAGTATCCTTGAAAACCGACCTGCACTTGAAATCGTACTCTCATATTCATGCGTTTTTTTGGCAAAATCTTTGTACAATCATGTTTATCGGTCCATTTAGAACCTTTCTGCATCATTTGATTGTGTTCATATGACCTATAGCGCCATACTCGAACCTAGGGTTTTGGAGGTTTGTATTTGGGCGTTTGTTTTGCAGGAAAAATTAGGACCAACCATGGACATAGATGAAATCAGGAGATGAAGAGGAACATGGTTGTGGTCTTGGAATTAATTTCCATGGCCTAGAACTCATTTTAGGATGAACCTAGGGATTTAGCTGCGGATAAAAATCCGCAGGTAAATAACCAGGTTGCAACGAAGAAGAGGCTGACGCGTCTCCCTCCCATTGGTTGTTTTAAATCTTGCACGCTTTTTTATATTTTTCTGATCCATTGAGTTGTCTTATTTTATTATTATTGATTTCTAACATTATAACAATCAGGCGCGTTGGTTGAGTTGGTAAACACGTTAGTGCATAGTCCAATGGGACCTGGGTTCGAATCCCAGGTCCCCAACATATTTCTTGTATTTTTCTTTCAGATGTTCCAGCGTGCCTCATGAACTGTGATCCACCATATGCCTTCAGATCTCAACGTGCCAGATGGCCTCCAGGCCAAATCTAGTGGCCCATATGGAAGGCCTATCATATGCTCAAGTCAGCGTGTCACATGGAAGTGCAAAAAGTCAGCCAGGCTTGTAACTATTGGGCCCTCAAAATTGCAAATCTCACCCTCCAATTGAGCCTGAAACCCCCCTGAGTATTTCTTTTTATTTTCTTTCTTTATTTTGTTTAATAATTATTTTTATTGTTTAATTAACCAATTAAGTTTTTCCTCATAAAATCAAAAACCAAAAAAAATATGTTTTATTTATTAAAATTAAAATCATCACTTTATTTTTGTAAATAAATTAATTTAATCAATTTAACTTTAATTAGGTTTAACTTTTAATATTTTTTGCAATATTTAAAATCAATTTAGATAATTAGGTTTTATCAACATTAATCCAATTTATTTTATTTCTTCAAATACTCAAAAAATCCAAAAATATCTTTTTTAAATTAGTTTATTTATTTATTCAATTAACCTAGATCTAATTTCTTTTTAATTCAAAAAATAAACAAAAAAATGCTTTCTTTTCAAAAAGGGTCAAAACCCTAAAAAATGCGCCCGATTTAATTTTCTCGCACGCGATCCATATTTTCATATTATTGCACTTGCTTCCGGAATGTAATTGCTTTAAATAGGACTTTACTTTATCGCTTTATTTTATTTTCCGCATTTTAATTTTAAGGGTTGTTTTTGGCGATGTAAATACCCGACGCCTTGTAATAGTTTAGATTTAATTTCCGCAATTTAAATTCCGCAACTTATTAACTGTTAGATGTTTGATAAATAGGGAATGCATGACAAGATCGAATGTATGAACCTAAAAGCAACATAGCTCACCCATGACATGTACAAAGACAAATTAACTGAAAATAACACACTCGCACATGCGCACTCTTAGGGTACACCTCACTTGGTTGCCTACGAACGTGGTCATTGAGTATAGGAAGTTTTAGAGGTCGCCCTCTTGTCCAAAGATCATAGTTGCCTCGGATAAAATGATCTAAGACATTAGGGTTACCACTAAGGCGTCGTAACATTGCTTTAGTGACCACACGTCCCTTAATCGAATTGACCCTTAAAACTCCAACGAAGGTGCTACCTACTTATCAATAGTGGAATAGCATTGTCTAAAGGACATCAGTACAGATTAATTCCTTTTTCAAGTAGGTAGATGGTTCTTAAGTACTTGCTCTCTTCAAAACAAAATAAAACTTTTCGCACTTACACCTTTAAAACAAAAACTCCTTTCAAACCCACAAACACAAAGAAAAGCAAAATTTTGAAAATACTTTGAGCAAGTACCTAAGAGCCCGTGGATAACCACGAATAGAAAGGGTGTTAACACCTTCCCTTTCTATAATCTACCCCCCGGACCCGAGAAACATTTCGAAAAAGGAATTTTTCTGTGCTTTTTTCCTTTCCTTGTTGGATAAAATAAAAGACGGTGGCGACTCTTGCTTACCGCGACATTTTGCGAAAACAAACGCAAAATGCGAACCAGCATTCCAAAACAATCAGTTCTTTCCCACCGTATCATAGATTGCACTCAACATTCTTGTATCTGGACTTGGACTTACTTTTGTTGTTGTCTCTACTCGCACTCTTGCTATTCTGCCGATTCCCTTTCGGTTCCTTTTTTGACTCCTGCCTCTGTTCTCAGTGACAAGTACTTCAGAATGAGATGAAGTACCCTGTGCCTTCCTTCTCATCTCCTCATTCAGAACACTTCCCTTTACACTTTACAAAGAGACAACACCATCAGAAGTTGAGTTTGTAATTGAAACCCGAAAAGTTTCCCAAGAATCTGGTAGAGTATTCAGTAGCCATAGTCCTAAAATTTCATCATCAAATTTGATACCCATACCTGACAATTGATCTAGGAGCCCTTGAAAATCATTCAAGTGATCAAAAATAGAAGTTCCCTCCTTGTACCTCAAATTCATCAAGGAATTCAACAAATACAACTTATTATTCCCTGATTTAGAAGCATACAAAGATTCAATCTTCTTCCACAAGGATTTGGCATGTTCCTCATTAGCATTGTGATTACAAACATTGTCTTCTACAAATTGTCGAATAAAACCACAAACCTGCTGATGTTCAAAATTTCACTCTTCATCAGTTTTGGATTCCGGCTTCTCACTAGCAAACACAGGAAGATGCATATTTTTCACAAATAACAGATCCTTCATTTTTCCCTTCCACAAATGATAATTAGTGTCATTCAAAGAAATCATTCTATTTGTATTTGTCTCCATCATTCTAACAAGTCAAACAACCCCTTAACCAAAGAGCTCTGATGCCACTCTGATGGGAAATTCAACAACAATTAACAATAACAACTCTAATATAGCAATACACAGCGGATATAATTTCCCCAACTTGTTGAATCTGTGAGGAGCAACAACAAATAATGCAACAACTAAACATCAACAACACAAAGAGACACCAAGATTTTTAACGTGGAAAAAAACCTTCTCAAGTGAGAAGTAAAACAACCACGGACACAAGCCAGTAAACTAGCTCCACTATGATCAATGTATGGATACAAGAGAGTCTCAAATGTAGCACAAATCGTGCTCAACAATCAGCCAAAACAACAAGGCAACAAAACATGAAATAGAGAACAAAGAAGAACCAGAAAACTCCAAAGGGCTGCTACTGTGCGTGGCCAATATCTCCCACCTCAGACCTCTGATCGCCGATCACACCGTCCAGATTGAAGAATCAGATGTCAGGAACCTGCAGTTCAAATTTCGGCCAAATCGGACGGTGAACGAAGGAGATATCGCGATTCTAGTGCAACTGCTATGTGTATGTGCGAAAATTCATTTCTCTTCTCTTCTCTCACTTTTCTCTTGTCTCTCTTGCCTAAATCAGACCTCTCACACCTACCCTAATTGACCCCTCTCCACTTAGATAAGTGAGACACATGGGCTTGCACATATTGAGCCTTTAGGATGGGAGCCCAAAACCCAACAATATATATATATAATATATATATATATATATATATATATATATATATACTATATATATATATATATATATATATATATATATATATATATATATATATATATATACGAATTAAAAATTGTGATTTAACATGGCTGAATAGTCACATCAAAGTATATAATGCTCTCAGCTTCAACTTTTGGCAATGTTAGAAAAAGTTGTCATGATCAATACACACGGCAACAATAATTGATCCTTAATAAAAAAAATTGGGATACACTAATTTTGAGATTCACTTTAAAAGGAAACATCGCATTCCACGCGGTTTGTGGGGGATAGATAAAAAAGCACCACAACCAACAAACACGCGTAAATTCTTTTTCACTATGAACATAAAAACATTAAAAGCAGACAAGTTTGTATACACTTATGTTGTTCCTTGCTCACTTCCTCGTCCTCTTCTTTCTTATCTTAGATATCTCTTTGTAGTCTTACGTTGACTAAAACATGGCTCTTGCTACTCTTTTGCTAGCTAGCGGTTCTGTTCATTGCAGGTGTCATAAATATATTCTTCTACATTCCCACCAACAAAATCCGTACTTTCCTTCAAATATTGTTTCCCAACAAGAACAACAACAGCATTAACAATGGTTGCGAAACGACCAAGATGGAGAGGGATGCTAATTATGGGAAGGAAGACGAAGAACTCAAAAAGGTGTTTTCAACTTTTGACAAGAATGGTGATGGATTCATAACAAAGCAAGAGTTTATGGAATCACTAAGGATCTTCATGAACGAGAAAGAGATTGATGATATTATTGTGAATTTGACTCAAACAAAGATGGGTTGATTGATTTTGATGAGTTTTGTTTGTTGACTAGAGAGTGCATGGGAGGGGTGTGAGGAGAAGAGAGAGAGGGTGTCAATAGTAAGGAAAGAGAATTGGAAGAATTAGAGGGTAATTTGAAGGAGGCTTTTGATGTGTTTGATAAAGATAATGATGGGTTAATTTCAGAGGAGGAGTTAGGTTTGGTCTTAATATGTTGGGATTAAAGGAAGGAAAGAAGATTCAAGAGTGTAAAGAGATGATTAGGAAAGTTGATATGGATGGAGATGGTATGGTTAATTTTAATGAGTTCAAGATAATGATGAGAAGGGAGGAGCAAAACTTGTATTTGATGCATAATTTATTCTAATTTCATCTTAGTGTTTTGATAACAATATATGTAACACTCATGATACCAATCAGTATTAAGATATGTAGTTACATTCAATAACTTTATTATTATTTTTATTATTAGTGATGTATAATCTCTTAATTCATGTCTAGTGTGCATGACTCCACTTTGTAGAAAATGAAAACAAAGTCATTATACATGTATATTGGAGAACAAGAGAAAATAGTGCTTTGATCACTAGTATGTGACAAGAGTCTTTTGCAACATCCTTGAGTGAGTGGTTTTGCTTGTGTATTTTCCATGTCTTCAAAGTGCCTCTAGAAAGCAAAAGTGCATATAATGTATTGATGTATACTTCAAAAGAGATATGCTTGCTTTCTGATATGGTCCACTAATATGCTTTTTTTTTTAATCTTTTTATTTTTGTACACATCAAGCAGAACAAAAGCTTGTTAATTTATTTGACCCTATTGATAGGTTTTGTTTGCTTGTTAAACAATTTTTAAGTAGACTTTTACACTAATATAAACTTAAAATTGTATATCTATGACACCTTGATGCATGAGTGTGGCTTAAAGTGGATCCTTTT